TCTTTCAGGGTTGTGGTCTCCACTGATGGATTGGTTGACACCAGGGCAGGTGGTCCTTATTCAGTGCAGCTGGTCCTGAGGTTGGTTTTGTTGAAACTGAGGCATAGATGTTATCTCTAGGGAGGAAGAAAGGTCAGGGGGTCCAAACTGCTTGACCAGCAATATGCTAGGGGAGGAAAAGTCACTGGGGGTAAGGTCCCACCCTACAATTGATTGCCCTTTGCTGGGCACCTGGCCCATGGTCCTTGCTCTGCTCAAGTCTGTCTAATTGCCTACAACAATAGTATTTTCAGTGGCTTAAAAATCCTCTGTGCTTCACCTATTCATCTCACATCTCTCCCTTCTCCTACCCACTGGCAATCACAGATCTTTTTATTGTCTCCATAGTTTAGTTGGAATTATACACTGTATGTAGCCTTTTCACTTTGGTTTCTTTTACGTAGTAATACGCATTTAAGGTTTCTTCATGTCTTTTCACAGCTTGCAAGCTCATTTCCTTATTTTTTCATATTTTACAAAGAATTTTATTTATTATTTTATTGTCTAAAGTTTTACATATGTCTCCTTTTCCCCCAATTGACCACCCCCTCATTTCCTTTTAACACCGAATAATACTCTATTGTCCAGATGTACCGCAATTTATCTATTTACCTTCTGAAAGATATCTTGGCTGCTTCCAAGTTTTGGCAATTATAAATAGAGGTGTTATAAACATCTGTTTGCAGGTTTTTTGTTGTGGACATATGTTTTCAACTCCTTTGGGCAAATGCCAAGGAGTTTTTGGTGGATCTGAAGGTGTTTTTGTTCTTAAATATATGATACACATATAAATACCATTTGCAAGAGATTAAGTGGTAAAGAGAGAGGAAGTGGGTTAGGATGGGATCCTCTACATCTACAATTTAAAAAAAATATTTTATTGATTTTTTTTACAGAGAGAAAAGGAGAGGGATAGAGTGTTGGAAACATCAATGATAGAGAAACATCAATCAGCTGCCTCCTGCATACCCCTTACTGGGGATGTGCCCGCAACCAAGGTACATGCCCTTGACTGGAATCGAACCTGGACCTTCAGTGTGCAGGCCGATACTCTATCCACTGAGCCAAACCAGTTAGGGCTACATCAACAATTTTTAACCTTTTGCATCACATGGCACACATTAACTCATTACTAAAATTCTGCAGCATACCACACAATACATTTTTGCCAATCTGACCAAAAAAAAAGGGTGTAATTTCTGATTGATATACAAAAATAAAAATAATAATTACCTACCCCTTTTTGCTCCAAAGTTATTTTAAAAAAAATCAGGTGTCTATACTTGTACATAAAGATTTCTGGTACCATACCAAGAATTAACCAATCAGATGTAACCTTACTATGCAAAGTGACCAATAAGATTATATGACCTATCCTTTCTAATAAAGAGGGAATATGCTAATTGACTGCCCTGTCCTCAAAGAGGGCGGTGCCACATAGCCACAAGATGGCGGGGCCCTGTCCCCTCAGTCCCGCTGGGGCAGCAGGCGCGCCTGTCTCCAAAGTTCCCCAGTCCCCTCAGTCCCCCTGACACCCAGGGCTGGCCCAAGGCACAGGCAAGCTTCGGTTGGCGGCTGCCCAGCCACCCAGGGCTGCCCTCGGCTCAGGTAACCAGGGCCGGCTGAGGCTTGCACTGCCAGCAGTGGCAGCAGCAGAGGTGTGATGGGGCATCACCTTCGCCCCTGAAGGTTCCTGGACTGCGAGAGGGGTCAGGCCGGGCTGAGATACGCCCCCCTCTAGTGCATGAATTTTCATGTACCGGGCCTAAAGTGTGTGTGTATGTGTGTGTGTGTGTGTGGCCCGGTGCACAAAAATTTGTGCACTTGGTGGGGGGGGCCCTCAGCCCGGCCTATGCCTTCTTGCAGTCTGGGACCCCTCGGAGGATGTCCACCTACTGGCTTTGGCCCG